GGGGGGGAGGCGGGGGCAGCGGCGGGAGCCCGAGCCCGGGGGCTGGCGGCGGGGCGGAGGGCGGTCAGCCCCGCGCCCCCAGCCCACCCCCGCCCGGCCCCCGGGCGGTGACGGCCCCGCGGGAGGTTGACAGATCGGGGGGCGGGAGGGGGTCGCTACGGCTGCGCCAGCATCGACCGGCGGGAAGGGCGGGGGTCGGGACCGGGCAGCCCCGGCCGAGGGGCGCTCGGTGAGGGGGGACGGGGAGGCTCCGTCGAGGGAGGAGAACGGGGAAAAAAAAAAATCAAAGCGAGCCGCTGCCTTCAAAATGAATCCCTGGACGAAGGAGCTCTCCCTCGGGAATGAGTGAGACTTGGCAGGTTTATTGGGTTTATTTTATTTCGGGGGAGCGGGGGGATGTTATTCCTTGGAGTGGAAATTTAAGGCATTGCCCAGGTCGGCGGCGCGGAGAAACCCCCGGCGGATCGAAAATCTCGGAGCTTATCTGGAGTGGGTTTGTTGGGGTTTCTCTCTCTCGTTTTTTTTTTTTTTTTTTTTTTTTTTTTAAGTCTTTAGTAAATGTGCAAATAAAGAGCCGGGGAAGGAGGAGAAAGAGGAGGAGGGTCGGGTTAGTTCAGTCTTTGTGCTTTCTCGTTTCTCTCGCCCGCTGGTTGCTGGCCTCTCCGCGGCGTGTGACTCTGTCCGGCTGGCTGCCGCTAAACTGTAGTTCCTCTCAAAATCAGAGAGACAGATCCCCCAGTCCGGAACAATGTCAGTCAGTGGACTTCCAGACCACGCTTCGCCTGCACTTAATTCAGCCACTGGATAAATCCGTATTGCTTTCAGTGCTCATCTCCCCCCTTTAGTATTAAGCAGCAAGCTACGGACCCAGGCAAAGAACTCCTCTCGCGTACTTTCCCTTTTACTCCCAGATATTGAACAGTTGCAAGTACAGTTTCAAGAAAAGCACGGAGGAGGGAAGAGAAGGGGAAGAGGGGAAAAAAAAAACCCAAGCAACCCAGCCCCTCTTCAGATAGTAATTACAAACGGAGAGTTGCACTTACAAACTTCCAGCATTTTGCCCCCAGAACAGTCCAGCAGCCACTTTTCCTTTGTGTTTTTGTATATTCCATGCCCGCGCTGGCGGGCGGGTGTTTGCCGGTGGGCTGTCGGCGCTGCCGGTGCCGGAGCTGCCCGCGGCCCCTCCGTGCGGCGCGGCGCGGCGCGGAGCGGAGCGGAGCGGAGCGGGGGCGGGAGGCGGGTGTCACCGACAGAGAGCGCGGCCGGGGACGCGGCGCCCGGGAGGCCGGGGCGAGGCGCGGAGCCTCCCAGCGGCCGCCGAGGGGAGTCGGGCCGCTGCCGCTCCCCGGGAGGTATGTGCATGGGAGGAAGCCAAGGAAATCCCCGCTCCCCTCCTCGCCCTGTACCTGGGTGCCGGGCCGGGAGCGGAGCAGCAGCCGAGGAGCGAAGCCTCCCGCGCTCTCCCTTCTCACCCGGCGGCGAGACCTTCAGGCGAGTGCGAGGGAGTTCTCAAAGAAATCACGGCGCTGCTCTCCTCTACCGGCTGTATTGCTCTGGAACAGACGGTACAAAAACAAACAGTGCCTTCTCGGGCGCTCGCATGCACGGGACGAGTGCACGGCACGAGGTCAGGCTCGGGATGTGGGAGCTCCGCTCGCTGACAGGAGCTTCTTGGGTGTCCGGGGCAAGTCACGTAGCGCCTGCACCGTGGTTCCTCCCCGGGAAAGCCGCAGGCTTAGTGCTTCTCTCGCCCGGCTCCTCTATTTAAAGCAGGGCAATTTTAGACTGCGAGATCTGGCCTCTGTAACTGGCCTTGCTGCAACTGGCAGCCGTCAGGTTCCGCGTGTTGTTGTAGGTGAGCTGTGAAGGAGAAGGCAGAAATAGCTGGGAGCTGGCCGGCTTTATTAAAGCAATATGCTGTTGTACTACTGTGGCTGCATTAGCCAAATTCCCAAATACCTCAGGGAATAAAAATGGCCCCCAAGCACGCAGAGACACATCCCTGATGGAAAACCTCTAAAGTCGTTTGGGACTATACAGCCCTTGTACATGGGTGCATTATCTCTTTCAGTTCTGCAATGGTCCAGTCAGAAAAATACACAAATTTCATCACAGCATACCGAGAGCATTAAGCTGAGGATGAGGGGGAGCTGACAATAACCCTCTCAGGTGGTTTTATCCCCTTCCAAGGTCATGCAAATAAATACTTTGAATGCCAATGATGAAGTGACACATTCCAGGAAAATCCCCTAGAATATAAAAGATATGCAGCATTAGACATACGGGAAATATAAACCCCCCCACTTTGATGACCCCCATCTCCTTCATGCGRCAACAAACATGAGGGTTTGTTGCAACATGTAGGTTTCCGGGTTCTGGCTCTGTGAGCACCAGCCAGAGTCTCCAGCACGTTCAGAACCATGTTTGCCTCAGCAAATGCTTTGAAACTTAGCTGAGGGATAAGGTCTGGGGAAGAGGGTTTGGGGTAGTGCTGCTTTCAGAGGAAGGCATTATTGCTAACAGGAAAGANTTTTTTTTTTTTTTTTTTTAACCTTGAACAACTGAGGAAGAGTGGATTATTATTTTATACGTAACAGTAGCTTGCATCTGTTGAGAACAATGGGTTGGTACAGCTGGAAAATAAAATGAAATTACAATGTTTGTAAAATAGTAGACAATGTTACCTGTGCTCGAGGCCTTGCTTGGACTTTTATTTGTTCTTTACAGCTCAGATGTCATTGCTGTGTTTAAGGGGGTCAGTCACAGAACATACATGCAACAGTAACACATAATTCTCATGGAGAAAAAAACCAGTATTTTAAATGACGGCTTGGCTGGGGTTTTCGAAGTGTCTTGTGGGAATATGAAATCCATGGTGCTSCTCCGGAAGCTACCAAGACAGCTGGAGGAATTCTCTCTCTCACAAGATTTTGTAGAACTCAAAGAGTGATCTTTCAAAACAAAGACTTTTCTCATTTTAACATGAGACGTTTAAGATTCGCTTTTTGCCARTCAGCATCTCGAGAGTTCGGTTTGTGGTTTGATCTCTCCCTTTCGGGGCGAGAGGCAGCCGGCTGCGGGGCTGCTCTGCGAGTCCCGCTCCCTCAATCCGCAGCAAATGCTGCCCCTGCTGTTTCCGAGCAGGAAATATCCCACAGCCATCCCTCGGCGTTCCAGGGTTTGTTCAGAAGACCCTAGGGGATGTCACCAGCCCCTGGATCCTGCCATCAGTTTCGGACCGGCTGGTTGTGAATATTGTTTAAAGCAAACGGTTCTTAACATCCCTTGCGATTAGTGGCATTTTAAATTAAATAAAGCAATTAACATAACACATCCTGAACTATTAATTGATTTTTTCCTTCTGTTACATGATGTAATCTCACATGGACTGTTATGCTTGAGCACTTTTTTTTTTTTTGTATGAATTCCCTACAGCTGTGGAAGCTCTGAGTTTCCCAAACAAGCAGAGAAAGGCAGTTTCCCCTCCAGATGAGAAGAGCACTTATTTGTGTCGAGTTCACAGCCAGGAATTCTCACCATAGACATCCCATTGTGCTAATAACTTTCCAAAAATGGAACAAAAAGACTGTGCTGAACCTGTGTCGCCTAAAATCTKGAGTGCATGCTTCAATCTCAGGACWTGCCTTGTTCATCTGTGTTTAAAAATCATGTATCAAATGGCTTCAAAGTTGTATTAACTCCACTGGAACGGCATATGCTTAATATCAATCCTGTGGAGGACTTTCCAAACTGAGAACTTTGAATTTTCAGCCATTTCCATTACTTGCTTTTCAGTGCAGGTTCTTAGCTGTTTTGATTTCCTGGGGTATTCCCAGCTAGAAAGGCTCATGTATAACGCTGCTCACCGGGCACATTGTTTAACTTTGAAGCAGAGTCTGACTGTACTTCAGTCAGTTTTCTCATCTTTAAATTTTGGGCACAAGGTGCATGCAACTGCTGCTCTTTTTAAACTGTAAAGTAAGCAATCCTCAACAGAGCATTTTAGTTTATTTTTTTTTAATTAAGAAATAATTAATCCAAGGAAATTGTGTTTACATCTTATTTAATAAACAATAAATAATAAACAACCACATGCCATCACTTACTACCTAGCCAATTACCAAAATTCCCATAAACTATTCAGGGAAGCAGAGCCACTGAAGGGGTTATTAACAGGTTCTTTTAACATAATTTCACATATTTCTCATATTCCTTGGCTGGTAGATCATACTTTCTTACATTCTTTTGTCTAATCTCTAAATTCAGATTAGAACTTGATATTTCTTCTCAAAGCAGAACCAGAAAGGCAAATTTTAAAGTTATTTTGTTGTGCTGGGTATTTCTCTTGGAATGGTATTGTATTTACAAGCATTTGTGYAGCACACATGTACACTAGCCCACTGTGTTTATCCAGGGAGCTTAAAAAAGGATAAAACTAGAAGTCTTTATTTATCCAAATAAATGTAAACTAGAGGAGTTAAACATGGGAATTGCCTGTAATTGCCTGCTGAAGTGCTAAAAATAGCTGKTTTTTGGGAACAGGAGAAGCCTTTACTGTCGAAAAAGTGACAGTAACAGCTATCTACTATTAGCAAACAACTTTATTTCCAAAAGGACATGGGAAAGGACATGGGAAAAATAATTTCTTTTCATACTTCACTGACAAGAACTGATCAGAATATAGACCAAAAAGAACCTCCTGTCCCTGAAGTAAGCCTGATCCTGTGTATAAATACCTTGTGTGAACTTCATCATTATCACCGTCTCCAGTTAMAGAATTTAAACTAGAGCAGATTATCAAAACATTACAGGAGCTAAAGTAATTTCCAAGTATGATCATTAATCACCCGTGCAAAGTCTAATCGCATACTGAGCTCTCTTCATTGTTCCATTAAGACAGGTACTTTATCTTAATTAAAGCTACTACTTCAAAAATTAACACTAAAAACAATTTAAAATGTCCTACTGGAGCAAACATTTTATTCTCTCACCTCCTAACTCCATTCAGCTTCTCTGACGTGGAAAAAAAAAGCATTGAAGATCAGYCAGATTTCTAACATCTCCCATCATTAGATATGTGCACAATTTTTTTCTGTTAGAAATACTCTGATTATTTCTATATATAGAAAGTCTCAGGGGTAAGAGTCTTCTTTGTGCTTCATGCTGTACTAGCATTTGCAGACAGACCTAGAAAATTTGATCTAAATTTTTACATATTTACTCTTCTAAACAAGTTTTTAACTTCCTGTGGTGAAGACAAATGTAAACATGATGTAATGACACTTGACATTTGCTGTCTTGTAGAAACACTTCAGGTAGAACAACAGCCACAAAAATATATCACTTCCTCCCATCTCAGTCAGGGGAGTATCAGAGGTTAAAAGACACAATACACACAAAAACATCACATCAGCCCCTGTCAAATCAAATGTCTGTTTCTTACTGAAACAGAAATCAGTGATGTCAATTTCAGGTATTTTCTTAGTCCTACTGGTGATACCACAGATAAGATTCAAAAACTTATGGAAGCACTTTCTACCAAGAAATTCCATCAGGGTACTTTTCTATAACTGTTAGCAACAGAAAAAAATGATGATGTGGAAAAAGAATGCCTGCAGAACAAGAAGCAAATAGGACACACTTTTTAGGTGAACGAAGAGGAAGTGAGAAACAAGGTCTGGGATGTAAAAAAATGAGCAAAACTAATAATTCGACAATTTGATCACTTCAATTTTCAATCAAAATCTAAGTATTCTTGAAAAATTACCTGTAATCAGCAAGCTAGAATTTCACAAACTTATTCTTTACTTTGGTAGCAAACTGTTTAAATGTAGCAAAATGAGAGATCAACCATTCATTTTGATAACAAAATTCATAAGTAAAAATCAATAGTCTTGAGAGTTTTCAGAAAATTTGTACGGTAGCAGAAGTTAGGACCAGTCAGGAAGGCTCTAAGAGGCCATGCTCCATTGCATGGTACAGAACTCATTTCAGAATGATTTTCCTCTGTAAGAACAAAGTTACGCCAAGGGTGTGTTCTAGAGAAGTAAACAAAAGTATATAAAGATTTTGTTAACAGAAAGAAGTGAGGTATCAGTGGGCATTACTTTAACTAAAAGGGATATATTCAAGATGGATTCCTGAGTACTTTTAAGCTGATGGGTGTTCTCACCCATATTCCCAGAAGAACAGAGATGGGGGGGGAACAGAGAATAGAGAAGAAAACCTTCAGCTTTGGTAACCAGGGAGATAGATGTAAGACATACCAAACCTCAGAATTTTATGGATCTAATTCACAGGTAAGGTATGGAAAKAATATCTTTAGTGTAAGTTTACTTGAGAGCAAGTCTCCATATGTTTATTGAGAATTTTCATCTTGGTTTTGTATATCTTTTATCTGTATGTGGTACAAAGGAGAACTGATGCTATTAGCTCACCCTAATARCATTTAAAACATTGCTGAATTTCAAATCCTTACACAAGTAAAAGCAGTTCATTTCTTAGAATGAATGCTGGGAAAAGGGTAGTGAATGATAAATCTAAGGTACAGCCTCTATATAAAAAAGCCAGCAGATGTTCACTGTTAAGCAATGCACCTGGCAGCAGTTGCCTACCCAATCAGCATATCTGTTTCCAGTAAACTGGCAAAATGAATGTGGGGATTTCTTATGGACAAATCTATGAGACATCAGATTTCATTAGTTTTGCTATTGAGAAAGTAACGTGTTATAAGAATTCAGTGTTAATAGTATCTTTCACTAAGTTGCTCAGCCACAAAAGACTAATAGAGTGTGTGCCTACRGCAAGATGTAGGAACAGCCCCTAACAGAATCCAAAACCTTGGATCTTAGGCTCTGATTCCTTTTATATGCAGCCCAAAATACAGGGAGAGAAACATTGAATCATTTGGGTTGGAAGGGTCCTTTAATGATCCTAATGGCCAGGGATATCTTCCAGTAGACCAGGTTTCTCAAAGCCCCATCCTGACCTAACCTTGCACACTTCCAGGGGTGGGGCATCCACACCTTCTCTGGGCAACCTGTGCCAGTGTCTCACCAACCTTGCAGTGAACAATTTCCTCCCTATGGCTATCTATACATATCCTCTTTGAGTTTAAAACCTGTTCCCTGTCCCATCACTACAGGGCTTGGTAAAAAGACCCTCTCCATCATTCTTGTAGGCCCCCCTTCAAGTACTGAAAGGCTGCAGTAAGGTCTCCAAAGCCTTAACAATCYCAACTCTCTCAGCCTGTCTGCAGCCAGCCTTCTGATCAATTTAGTGACCCTCCTCTGGACTTGTTCCAGTAGGTCCAGTCTTTCCTGTGCCAGGACCCCAGAGCTGGATGCAGAACTTCAGGTAGGGTTTCATAAAAGGGGCAGAATCATTTCCCTTAACCTACTGTCCACAATGCTTTGGATGCAGTCCAGGACACATCTGGCTTTCTGGGATGCAAATGCACATTTACAGTTCATGCCTAGTTTTTTCAGAATGGACAATACCATACTTAACCCTTCATAAATCTTCAAAAATCTACTCTGCTCTGGGTTTCATGCAATTCTGGTAAGCCATGCATCTTGTTTCTGTCTAACTCCTACTTTCTGTCAAGTTACATTGGAAGAATTCTTTCTTATCTTACATGGGCATATTAATCCATTCTCTTAGGATTGCACTTATTCCTAGTTGCTGCCATTATGTTTGCAAAATGTAACTCAATGTTTAAAATCTCAGTAAATTGCCCCAGCTGCTTATCAGAGACAGCAATGTGGGCCCATGTGTTCATTTCGATGGCTAAGCCAGACTCAGTCTGTATGACGCTTATACTCTGACTCATCACCTACTTTCTCAAGAGAGGAATGACTATTGTGCTGCAAATATATTCAGAGCTGCAGAATATTTCCTCTGTTGCCTTGCAACTGTCTATACTGATTCCTCAGAAGAGAAATAGATCTTTGCATTTCGGTCCTGTTTGTTGTAACTATCATTCTAACTGACTGGACTAACTTGCACATGAGCAATAAGGCAGGTCAGATCCAAGTCCTAAGCTCTTGTGTAACAAAGTCTTACCTTTCCAAATATACCCACTTCAAAAGATCTCAGCATCTCCTAGATTCCCTACAATGCAGCTCAATATAAATAGGTGGAAATTTTATTTCACAAGTAAATAGATATTGAACTGATGTTTCTAACAGTAGGAAACTTAAAGTGATTAATGCAGTAATACTGTATTAGACTGATTTGGTAAAAGTTCAGGTTTATATTGACACAGGTGAGAAAAAAAGATACAGCACATTATCAAACAGTAGTACAAAGGCATATGAATTTAGGTGTAACACCCTAAAAAGAAATGCTGAAGTCCAGGCAGATAAAGTGTATGCAGGTGAAGTAAGGCATTCACATTTTTAAAGATGTCTTTTAAAGAGCTGTATGATCTCTTAATCAATTTTCTCTTCTTGGAAACTGTCTGCATCTTCCATGTAATCTTCAAGATCATTGTATTTCTGTGAATGAAATAAAATTTGCATAATTTATCAATAACTATTATGTAAAGGCTGCTTTTTCTCATTCAACACGTGACCAAGCATGCCAATAATAATTTAGAAGCTATATCTGCAAGTTTACTAAATGCAATCATACTACAAATTGTCTTACAATAGTTCATAAAGTGGTTCTGAATAATTGGAAGTACTTCAGTGTAAACAGAATTGGAAAATATTCTTGCCTTGCCGCATGTACACTTTTCCCATCTTTCTAAGTTACAGCTCAAGTTTGTAGTGTTGCTGCTTTCAAATGAAACAGGAGCCTGCCCACCACAGCCCAGAGTTGTCAAAAAGTTTCATGTCAAAAGCTGGTACAAGCCCTATGTGAGYGCACAGCACACTGCTGTTTGAAACACTGAGTCAGGAGAAATGGGAACAGTTGAGCTCAGTTGTATTATTGAAGGCCAGTAATTCTAAACTGATCAATTAAATCAGACCTTGTATCTGAACTTACTTTTATCTGCTTGGAAAAGGATACTGGAAATAAGCCAGTCATACCTTCTGAATCCACCCACTCGCTTCCAAGYGGCTGAAAAGCCGCTCTACAGTGTCTTTGACTGGTTCATCCTCAACACCATCCAATTCAACAACAGAGCTGCAATCCACGTACAGCTTGTACTTGAAGTGTTTTAAGTTGTGATAAACTCTTGTACGATTTGCACACACCACGCCAACCTTCAAAACCTAGGCCAGAACAAACAAATCATTTTCTCTGGTAGAACTAGGATTATTTTGACAATATACAAAATTGGTGGGATAATCTAAGATTTAACCAATCAGTCAAGGAAATTTTCTGGAGTAATAATGAAATAAACAGAATGGCACCACATGCATAAAATTAGCACAAACCCATGCAGTTTTCACAGYCACAGACAAGGATTTTTGAGCAAGCAGGCAGTCAGCAAGTCCACGCCATGGCAGCTTATCAGTATGGTCTTCTTGCAAACACAATCATGTTTGTAACTGGCTATATCTTTCCTATCTCCTGGTGGAACTTTGTTACAAAATCACTAACACTTTAGATAACCATCACACTGTGAAGGCAGAGTAAGAGGAATTAACTACTTACTTTTGCTTAATAGGTAAGTACTTCCTAGGGAGATGAAATTACATTTCATGAAAACACAKGAAAATACATGAAATGTAACATTTTGTAGACAGAGTAACATCCAATATTTCTTCAAGAAGTACATACAAACACAAATAGATATATGCCTCAAAGCATTTATTTAATAAATGGAGAGGTTGAATTTWWAAAAAAATAAAATATGAAGTTTTATACAACACAAATGTGCAACTGTCTGGAAGGTATAGCTAAGCCATAATGCTGCAGAAAATAAAGCCTCTGCATCTCCCAGTTAWCACCAGTTTTATTTCTATGATTTCCATGCAAAAAAGATGCAACTGTCTTATTTCACAGTTTCCTTTACAGCAGCATTTGTAGACAAATAAATGATAAATGTGCTTGTTACTACATAAACAGAGCATGGATTAGAGTAGGTTTGTTATCTATCAGCACTAACATGAAAATACTGAGTAATGTATTGGTTACAAGAATCTTTGGCTATCCTAAGTGTTCACTAAGACTATGTGAAATTGGAGGAGTGGGAAGGAGCAAGACTCACTCTTCACCTGCGTTTAAGGACATCCCACATACCACAAAGTATGTTTTGTTCCACTTATATAAGAACAGTAATTCCAGTAGATACAATAGCAGGTCAGAAGAGGATTCTATCCCCTGTAAATGACCCAGAGGTGCAGCGMTTACTACTCCAACCCATGGAGACAAAGCCGATCAGGTAAGAAATCTACATCTGGCTGTTTTTTGGAGGTCAGGTTTTCTAAAAAAGCAACATAATTAATTAATACATGTTTAAAAAAATTGATTAAGTTTTTCTGAAAAAAAAAGCCTCTTCATCAACTTATCCTCCAAGGACAGCACTGTTTTTTGTACTGGTGTCTTATCACACCTTTGTATAATGTGTATGTAAATTGCTAAAAGTCAAAGTTCTTTGCATCAGTAATACAAGCTGCAACTGTACTGCTGTTTCACATTACACRCACATATTTATCCACTCATATATTTACAGGAATCAACCAAGTTTTAAATCGCAAAATTATTTCTTCTRAGCCATAACAGTGATGCCTTTTATTGCTACCATTGGTAATAATCTGAATACTCTCAAATTGCAATAATGTGAAGTTTTAATTAACACTTACAACCTACATTTTCAGGGAGCTTTTCTRCATGCATGACCAAATGTTTGCATCTGTTAGTAGTTCCCCAAAACATCTGACCTATTTGTGCAACCTAGTACTAGCTCTGCTGACAGTGAAAGTAACAGAAAAGTRTATTTATAAAGATTATGTAAACAAAATCTATATGTATATTTTTTATATTTTCTTAAATATACAAATAAATCTTTAATTTCTTTAAATATATTAACCAGTAGCTCAATGGATATCAGCAGGCATAATATCACTGAAATCAAAAGAGACAGTCACATACAAGAACTTTCAATCTGACCTAAAGTAAATGGTTATTAACTGAAATTTTAAACATTTTGAGATAAAAACTGCTTATTAYTCTATTTTAATTCTCTACTGATCATCCACATATTGTACCTATATACATTTCCATTTTCTAGTATACCCAAAACTGAAAAACTAAGGCTTGTGTTTGGTGGTGCAGGTGCTTCTGAAGTGCAAGATCTACCAACCAATGCTCAGCCTCGATTAATTCAAATTTCCAGAAGCACCATTTCAAATACTACAACAATCAAGCATTAAGCCACAGCATTTTGTAGAGCATTGCATAACTTTATAAGTGTCCCAGGCAATGAGGTGTGGCACTTGGAACATTCTGTGATATAAAACAGGAGATACCATCTTGCATCAAACTGACGGCCCAGTTTTTTCCCCCGTGACAACAGCTAGCAGGAGATATTTAGTCAGTTAGTATAAGATCCAATACAAACATTAGAATGATCATAAGATAACCACATATTTTCTGGCAGTAAAAAGTTAAGRCAGTCTGTAACATCCCAAATATCATGTTTCATGGTGTGAGAGAACCTTCCCCAGGAACCTGTCTAATCCATTTTGGGACCCAATACAATATTTCCCTTCYAAATTATCCTGTGGCAGTTAGTTTCACAGCTTATTTATGTGTGAGKTGGAGAAATGCCAAAGGCAAATAGCTAAATATCATACAAATGTAACTATGTATTGTGTTTTTAAGAAAGAAAGTCTAAAAATACAATGCTATTTCAGAATGCAGCTTTGGAAAGAATCTCAGTACTGTACTCATTCTAATATTTTCCTCTCACAGTTCTCAGTCCCTCTGTGTTAATGCTTAACTTATCTACTCAAGCTGGCCCTATCAGTGAAAGCTGTGTTAAATCACTTTGTATGGAATGTAGGAGCATGGTTAGACAATAGCACAACATGTAGTGACTGAATCCACRTCCTCTAAACATGCTTGCAAACAGAACACTGAGACTGAGAGTAGAGCACAGTTTATAATCTAGGTGACATTAGAAGTAAGGAAGTGTGGGGCACACCTAAGTCTCTAAACCTTTTGACTCTCCCTGACCATGAGGAAATGAGAATTGGCATCTACACAGTGAACAACCACTGCAAGCCTAAGCAAAACTGGAACAGATGTTTCTCTTCTCTTTCTACTGGCAAAGCAGAATACTTCAGAGATGAGAGAAAAGGAAAGTTTTATGCAGAAGAAGGGATTTGGAGGTCTATTTTTGTTCTCTTCACATCCATTTTTCTTGGGTATTTTCAAACAAATCTATAGAAAATAGTCCAACTAAGTGTTGCCATTCAATTTGATCTGTCAGTGCTGAACTGCCTTCTCTATCAGTCAATTAAGTTTGTGACATGGCAGTTTTATGTAGCTTCATGGGCCTTTTTAAAATTTTTTTTTTCTAAATTGGCAGGACAAGTTGATTAAAGCATCGGCAGCAGAATTTTAAAGACAACTTGAGAAGAGTACTTTTAGCAGTCTAAATTGCAGGTCACCATAAAAACACAAATGTTGCATTACAAGACACTATCAAATATGACTGGAAAGTGCTCACTCTCTCTCCTGAGTCTGCCTAACAGCCACTGAGCTATAGTGAGCATGAGCATAGCAGACATATATCTCCAGATGCTGCTGYACACAGGGTAAAAAAAGCTCTCATTTGGTACTGTTAAGCTGAAGAGGACAAAGATGAACTAGCAAGTTAGTTCAATATGCCATAGGATATTTCAAGTTTTTTCCAAAGAGCAAAACAGCCAACAGTTTATGCAGGATAACATTTGATCAGCAGTGAGGGAACTGCTAGTATTATTTCCACACTTAAGCTGGAACTTGAGTAAATTCTTGTGGTAGTTCACGTATTATTTCCAGTTAGGTAAAGCACACACCTCCCATGAAAAACTGAGTATTTTAAAATTAGTAATTTGCATTTAGAGACCTGTATGTAAGGAAGAATGTCTGTAGCTGGGGTGATTGCAGAGGACTTACTGTTTTCCTGCAATAAACAAGGGGAGAAGCCTTGTTGGAAAAGCCAGCTCTCTTGACTATCATACATACACATACTTTTCAAAATAGTATCAGTGACTGCTGCTCAGAAGGGTCTGTAATTTAAGAAAAACTCTGGCATAGATTTTCAGGCTCCTGCATTACAGAGCCCTGTATGATGACAYAATAATAATCACAGGGACACCTCTCAAATCCGTAAGTTAAAGGATTTGCAAATATCCAAACAATACAGGCTTGAGCTTCAGTAAGGCATGTTTGACAAAGGCTTCACTTTATTTTTACATAAGAAACCCTATTTYATATTTAATAAAATAATTAAATAATTATACCTCATTACCAAATATACTGAAAAAAACCCTTGTTTTGAAACTTTATTTTTCAACAAATACTATGAGGAACTCCAGCTGTATTAAAAAATTCTCTTACACTCACAAATAAAATACCATCTGCATCTCCCAAAAGGGAAGAAAGGCAGGACTTGGATATCAGTTTGGTAAACAACTGCAGCAATATTTTATTCTTGACAGATCGTGTGCTTTGATTTTATCACAAGAGGTCACGAATTGCATTACTTAAGAAGGTCACATGCTTACCTAATTGGAACAATTATGTGTAGCTGCAAATTTRAAGGGAAGATCTCTAAATATTAGAAACACTCAAGTTCTTAAGAATCAAGATCTTTAAAAGACTCAGCTGTGAAATAAAATTATATTAGGCTATTATTAAATTATTTTAGGTGACTTCTCAAGTCACCTAAAATGACTGCCTAATGGAACATCACATAACAACATAAAAGATGCCTTTTATTAAAAAAATATGATTTAGTTCAAAATATTCTAGTAGTGACAACTGAGGGAGAAATAGATGCAAGATTACCTAAATGGAAGTGTTCTCTAGTTTGAACAAGTCATTCTGATAATGCAGTAATGGGAAAAGGCTCTAACAAAATGTACTGATGCAGGGAGGAAGAAGTCTTCTTGAAAGGAAGTCAGCAACTTCTATTTGAGATGCCAAGATACTTTGTCTTGAGTGAATAGCTACGTGGGAAATAGCAGATGTGGGAAAAAATCTGAATGATGCAGTAAATTCTGACAAGGTCACACTTTTGGACTATTAGGATGACCATTGTGCTGTTTCACTCAATATTTGAACYTAGAGCAGACAAGAATTGTTGGAGTGCACATGGACCCTCCAAGTGCTAGAGGCAGAGAAGGCACAGAATCAGCAAACCTAATGACCCTAAAGAACAGACCTCACAACAAAATAGAAAACAATCTTTCAATGGAGAGGATTGTCAATCGTACAGAAAATTACTTTTACAATGTTTCTAAGAGCTAGTCAATACAAGATTCCTGCTGGGAAAGTCTTAAGGACACCATAGGCATAAACAAAGGTAAAGGTCTTTTTCATTAAGGGGTAGAGGTGGGGAGCAGACAGCAATGGGTCACTGTGATGCAGGCAAAACCAAAGGACATAGAAAAATAATGGATTTATTTTCTTGATAAMAGTTGGATTTATTTGAGGAGAATTTTCATTACCTCTTTTCCAACATATAAGAAAGGGGGAAGGGAAGGACCAGCAGAGGGGAATGCCTCCATTAATGTTTCCAAGTTTTATAGGAACTTTCTTCATAATTCATAGCTAAATCCACAGCTGTACTCCTCCAAACTGCAAAACGATCTTCATATTTAAAAATTAATAGGGTTTACACATGGAAATACAATAGCCTATCACTTGCATCTGGCATTACAGACATTAGATGTGTTGATAGATGATTTTCTGTAATATTATGTAAAAAAAAAGAGTAAAAATATTATGTAAAAATAAGAGTGCTGGTTTGAAATTACCTGTTTATCATTTGACATGAAGTCATCCACTTCCAAAGTTTTACTATTATAAAGCCTTCCAGAGAGCAACACATTGAACTTACAATACCGCTTCAACTCACAGGCCTGACAAGACATTTTTTGGGTATTTTTCAAGCTTATGCGAACATCTGGGTAACAATCCACGCGCTCCTGAAAAACAGATTCCAAATAACATTAACCCCTGTAAATGGAATGATGTCCTGAAAAGGCTGCTGAGTACTCTGTACTYACACAAAATTAGTCCAAGAGAAATGAAAGAGATTCAAAYCTCCATTGTTACAGTGATTAATAGATCATCACACAYATCACACTAATACTYTWCTAGTAGTATACATACAATGGCTAATTACTCTATACTGACTTAATTTTTTGTAGYAGTAGAAGAAGGTTCATGATGAACATACTAGTTTACCTTTTTGTGGAAGAAGGAAGAAATTTTGTGATACAATTTTGCAAGTCACAAAAATCCTCAAAAAGTCATCTGCTGAAGTTAGCAGAGGACACATTCAGGTAGCTGAGAACAGAYTCTGTTTTGCTACCTGAATGTTTAACTGATTATAAGTGCATAAAATATTTATAATATTTATATAAGTATCAAAATAAATTATGTAAGTTAAAGAACAATAGTTTCTATTAAAAAGTATATATAATTAYAGTGATTGTTGCAACTTTACAGAGAATTACAATATTAAAATTATCTGGAGGCCAATTCAGTATTTAAARTAGAATCTACACACCTTGTATCGATCTTTCCAGCGACTTCTACAGATTAAATTGTCAAGACGAGGCTGAATGAAGCGGTCGTCCAAATAATGAAGTGAGAGCAGCATGTCTTGTGCATACTTCTTTTGTCTCGTTCCATCTGTTCAATGAGAATCATTACTAACCTGCTGACCACCCTATGTTGTACAAGTTTCYTTAGATAAAATTTTCAAGGATGTTATGCTACTGCATACTAAAAACTATGAAAGAATTTACTAAACTATTGCTCAATAYATTTGCTACYGTTATCCATGAAAGTGATCCATGCAAACTATGCATTTTGATAAAGGGATATATTTTATTATTTTAAAATATGTACATGAACAAACTCTACAATCAAGTCAAAAGATCTCATCCCAAATGGAGATCCATTCACTCAACCCCATTTAAAAGAATGGAAAAGGAGGAAGCATGTGGGGAAAKGTCTTACATTTTGACCATCTGTTAAAGTTGTTCATATGTATAAGGGGAGTGGTTGAAACCCATGACAACAAACTTCTCTGAGCTACTTCAGTAGCAGAAATTTTGACAACTTTCTTTGTCACTTAYGAAGAGCTCAGAGAAAGTGACCTTTACTTCAGCAGCACACTCAGATGCCTTAAGTAAGGCAGCATAGATACTTCCAAATACTTACTCAAGCAAAATAATTAAAAAAGCATGAGAATGAGTAAAACTACCACTATTCCACTATTGTTTCCAAATACACACTGGACTCCAGGAATTAAACAGGACTTCCCTAGATGCAGGCCAATGCACACGGTCCTGGAACTTCAGTGTGCACACACACAAAACTTAATTCAGCTACCTCTCCATGTCTTCCAGCAAAGCTTTTATCAAAAAAAAAGCAGAGCTGAGAAGGACCACTGTTTATCCAGTAGTAGTTAATTGTCATTATAGTCACCATAATTACAATTAACTGTCTTTCCATATTCACTTTACACACAGATTTGCAGGATGAGCTTGAAGAGACTGTGCTAGACCACAAAACAAAATCCCTCCCAATAAAAAGCAAGCATGAATGCCAATACTACAGTAGCTGCTCTTGATTAAAAACTAATGAAGAGATTCACTTCCATTAACTCAGAACAATCCATTCTACGTTATATACATACATTTTTGTAATGCTAGGCTATGTTCATACAATGTTCATGTACAACCTCCAGCTCACCCGCAGAGCTCATTTACTTCCAGCAACTTGGCAGTAAGTTGTTACATTTTATGGAGCAGATACAATTTGAAATAAGAGGAAGCTATTACAAAATTAATCTGGCAGGGTTTACTTACTACTTTTAATAAGCTTGTTTTCACTTGTTGAAACAAAACAAAACAAACACCTGAACTAGCAGTGGTAGATGACATTTTTAGCTCCAAGCGTATACAGACTTTATTCTGAGGTCTGTGGTGTACTTCAGTTTCTCCACAGCCTCTTAGCTCCTGATGACACCAAAACCTCCACTCTTTGGCACTTTACTGATTCCTTCCACAATCTGACACCGAGAGTCCTCTCCTTAATGCCATCTTTACAGTACTTATGAAACTTCCTGTGAGGCTGTCATTCAGCCCCACTTGGCCAAATGCCAAAAAGCACTTCCTCAGAAAGAATAAGACAAGTTCTGACTGCAGCTGAAGTTTACTTATCTAAAACGTAAAAAAAAACAACAAAAAAAAGGGAAAAAATCTGATGTAAAGTCATCTCCATAACTAAAATAATTTATTACCTATCAAATTCCTGACAAAAAGAGCTGTGAAGCACAAGACATTTTGACAAACCAGCTGACCTTGCAATGTTTTCATTGAGATACCTGATTTGAAACTAATTTGGCTGCCACGCTGGAAAGGTTACTGATGATTAGTAACAGAAACATTCCTACACCACAAGAAGGCATTTTAAGCCTTCTATGCTTTAAAGAATTAAGTCTACAYATTTTTCCAAGATTACAGTATCATTTTCAGATAGAGTCCCCTCTGCCCTCCCCCACCAAAATTAGATAGCAGGAAAGCCACAGATTTCAGGACCCTCAGTTCTATACTCTAATCAGGAGAAACACCTTTCCATAGAATAAATTACTTTGTATAACTTTGAATGCATGATTATATTATTTAATGCAATTTACTTACCATAYAATGAGCTCAGAAAAGTGTCATCAATGGCATTTATGAGCAAAGCCTTTACTATTCTTTTGAAGTGTACATAATGATCACAGCGAGATACTGGCAAGAAAACAATTCCACCAAAATTTATCAAAACAAGAAAAAATCCTAAATCAGACCAACATATAAAAAATGTGTGCAATAAGGTTTCCCTTCCTTCCCCCCATACCCTCTCTTTAATTAGGTACCAAAAGTCTGTAAAAGTTTACTGTGGAAATCAGAATGCTTTCACAATAAATTGAAGGCTTTTAGGTATCTGATTTAAATGTTGTATCCTATTCCTTAGCATTTGTATTTAGCCCATTAATTTTTATTACAGTACTATGAGMAAATTATACATAAAGAATTATCACTAATTTTGATCTTACACTGTGGGATGTAGTGTGCCAGCAGCTCGCTGTTTGATGGATATGGTTGCTTTTGATGTGGTACATTTCCACCCTTCACCTTCTCTGTGTTACCATCATCATTATCATCACCATCGTCTTCCTCTTCCTCTACTATGAAATCTTTCATGCTGTCATTGTCAGTTTCACTGCCTTCTGAGGGTGTGAGGGGCAACGGASAGAGTGGTTCCTCTTCCATTTCTGCTTCACTATTAGAATCCTAATTTAATTTTAAAAAATACTTCAAACATAAGAATTTTCAGTATTTGCACAGGCAAAACACCAACTACACCAGCTAAGATTTTTGTCGATTTGTTCAATTAACAAGAAAGCACTTATTTCCAAAAAAATCGTTCTGTACTAGATGACAATTACTTTCAGCTTCAGCTATTTCCATGTACCTCTCTTCAGCCTACTTCTAGGAGTTAAGTTAATATGAGATCTCCACATTACTTCAGCAGGGATTCTGTTTCCTGATAAAAATAATTTGATAGATTTTCAGCAGTCAATGTTGTTATCTAGTTAATGCGACTATTAAAATATCACAGAACTACTCGTTTATTATGCATTCAAACCAAAAAAATCCCACCCTTTGGTATCTCTTAACCTTTCCACACACTAAGTATTTTCTCCAATTAAATTTCAAAGATAAAACCCAGACCTCACAAATTGCACTGCTGCAGGACCTCCGAGCTGCACTTTGTCTTGCAAGTTCTTTCAATTTYGCAAGCACTTCCTGTTTCCTGTTAGTAGAAACATTCTCTGTAGGGTGCTGCTCTTCAGAACTCTCATCGTCATCCATKATACAGTGGCGCTTGGCAGGAACCTTTCTAACAAGTATGTCACTATCTTCGCTTTCATCACTGTCATACATGACAGAGGTGCTCAACCTCTTACGCTTCCCAGGCACAATGCACTCATCCTCACCATCCTCCGTTACTTCCCCACTGTGCTCTTTTTTCTTTTCCTGATCTGAAAGRCTGCTCTTCACAGTGGTTTGATCTTTTTCGTCTACTTCACTTTCYGATGTGGTAGACTCTTCCTCCTCCTCCTCCTCAGAGCTGGCTGAGGATTCGTCATTGCTGTCAAGCAGTATGAGCTCCCTTCGAGTGCGTCTCCAATCCACTCGGGATTTGGGTGATGGCAGTTCTGTCCCTGCTGTCCTATTCCTTGTTTCGTATCTTCTGACGGCTTCTTTTATCCCCATTGGAAGGCTGTAGCGACACCCCAAAATATAAACCGGTAAAAAAAAACCAAAAAGCCCCACTTATTACATCGTGCAAAGGAAAACAAAAATGTATAAGCATACATATTTTGCTCCATATGCTTATGACTTAGCAGTACCTCCAGGAGACACCCGCAGAAACCAGCACCAAACAGCACTCAGCACACGCACGGTGACTTCCCGAGGGGCTACACCTTGCTCAAGACAGCGTGGCTGAACTGAAGGAATGAGGTGTGTGGCGCCGCTGCCGCTGCCATGGCCGGCTCCCGACACCGGGCGGCTCCGGGGCCGTTGTGGGCCCGCTCCCGCTCGGGACACGCGCTCAGACCGCGCGGGGATCGGCCGTTACGCGCCGCCTCCACCGCCCCGAGCACTGCGATTGGCCGCCGCGCCTGTCACTCAGCCCGCCTCCGCCGCTTCGCGCCCTGCGATTGGCTGGCATGCCTGTCACTCATCCCGCCGCGGTGTTTACGGAAGTGCTGTCACGCCGCGGCGGGGTGAGCGTTATGCTTCAGGTGGCGCGCAGTGGCCGGCGAACCGGACGTGTGGGTTCTTGTCCCGCCTCGGCGCCTTTCCGGCGCTTCACCCGGAGGTCTCAGGCAGCACTGTGGTGGGGTGGTTTMGGTGTTTGTGCCGGTCCTAGGTGCATTCCCGAGAAAAGCCCGCGCGGCTTGTGAGGTCCGGCACCTCCCTAGCGGCGTTGGCGGGGACCAGCGCTGGTCTGAGGCGCCCCCGTCACAGCAACTTCCTCAGCAGCCTGGGAGCAAACCTGGTGGATTTGTGAGGGGTGAGGGAACAAACCCTGTGGATTTGTGAGGGGTGAGGGAACAAACCCTGTGGATTTCTGAGGGGTGAGGGAACAAACCCCTCAGGGGGAACTGGAGGTGTTTAGCCTGGAGAAAAGGAGGCTCGGGGGGACTTTATCGCTTTGTACAACGGCCTGAAAGGAGGGCGTAGCAAGCATGAGACGAGAGGAAATGGCTTCAAGTTGCGTCAGGGGAGCTTTAGATCCTACCTTAGRRAAAATTTCTTCTCTGAAAGGATGGTCAGGCATTGGAACAGGCTGCCCGGGGAAGTGGCGGAGTCATCGTCCCTGGGAGCGTTCAAAAGACGTGTGGATGTAGAACTTCAGGGCAGGTTTTAGTGGTGAACACGATGGGGATGCTGGGCTGGTGGTTGGATTTGATGATCTTAAAGGGCTTTTCTAACCTTAGCGATTCTACGATTCCGTGAATGATGAACTTCTGCTGGTTTTTTGCATGAAGCGTCGTTGAATAGGATACTGAGTTATGCTCAAAACTAATAAGCTTACAGATGCATTTAAATAACAAGATTAWTGTCTTACATTTTCTCTGCTTTGCTTGGTCTGCGGCAGAAGAYTGCTGTTACCTTGGAACTCATTCTGCTGACATATTTTTATACTCTTCTAACAAGATCTTGCAATTGCTTCCATATATTTCTTTAAARATAGCTGCTAACAAAAGCACAAAGAGGAAATCATGGAAAGACAATTATTTCTCATCTTATTTACACAATGAATTTGATATGGTGAAGAGGTGTGCACAGATGGATTGAATTCCCACCAAAATGTTTGTACTGAAAGGATTATAATGATTGTAATTCAAGGATTATATTGCATTAAGGGGTTTATAGTCCTGGGCAGACATTTCTTTTAATTGCTTTAAATTTAAATTCMGTATATGAATTTTCATATAAATAAGCAGATCAGAGTTTTTTCATGATTTATTATTTCCTCCAAAGTGTGGTGGAAGTTAACATTTCAGGGTGCYGCTCTCCATCACATTTTTTTGCTTCCAACATCGCCACCTTGTGACAAAAGGCATGAAGGAATCCTGGTAGTTTTACTCCTGTGTTACAGCAGAAAGAAACATAGTTACAAAGAAAATATTGTATGTAACTGAATAAAATACATGGTAAATACTTTTTTTTTTCATACTTCAGTGACGTAAAGAGTTTCAGTTATGAATACTGGCTTCTGAAGGACAGGAAAAACAATTTTTACTCTTCACAATGATTATATCCTGATTTTTCTGGTGATTTTTCAAGTGAGCCACAGTCCTGGGGGAGTCTACAGTATGGGTTCATATGTGTCCTTAGATTTTAGTAGCAGAGYTCAGTCAAAAGACAGAAGTTTTCCAAACAGACAGATTTTTCTCAAAACTCCTCTCTAAAATCTTAGTGTGTTCCCTACATGTTAAGCAAACTTATTTGTCTCAGAAAATAAATGCAGTACCAAACTTATTTGTCTCAGAAAAAAAAATATTTTCGTATGTACCATAGCATTTTTCCTGAGCTTGTGCAGTTACTGTGCCATGTGATAATAACAGCATCTCCCCAGTGCAGTGTTATTTTTTACTGATGTATTCCAGTGCAGAAATTAATATATTGGAACCTTTATTTTAAGTGGCAGCCTCCAGCAGCCTCTTCTGTTGCTGGCTGCTGTAGCTGCTGAGTATTTGCTCTGCTGTTTTCCAGCTGGTCTGTTAAATGTCTGGCTATTRTTGTGTTCACACTGCAGTTTCTCTGGAGCTTTAGCTCTTCTGGGGTTCAGTGATGTACAGGGTTATATGAACATTCCTTCCACAGAGCAGACCCTTCCTGCTTGGGGTATTTTTCTTTCCCTAAGGTAAGCAATGGGAAGCTCAGAGCCCACAGTTCCCAGGGACTGTTTCCTGCAGCAGTGCAGCATTTGCAAATGCTCTGACTCCCAGGCATACTGAGCATTAGGCTGGCTCATCCCCAAATAGTGGTGCTGGAATTTACCAGAAAAAAAAATAAAACCCAAAAACATATAATACAACTTAAAAAAACTCTTTTTAATTTTTAAACTTGCGGAGAGGTTCAGCCTGGCTGGGGCAGGCACAGCCACCAAAGTTGCTCTCGCTTTCTGACAGGTTGCAATAGTTCAACAGCGTGTTACAGCAGAACTCACCTCTGAATTTGGCAAGAGTTTAGGCAGTGGCATTCACAACAATGAGCTTTAATGATTTTGAAATAAATTTTCAGCATTGCAGTGCCTTAGGTGGGATTTTTTACATCACCAGGGTCTCCCTGTCCCTTCACTGAATGCACTCCTCAGTCCATTTATGTCATGCATTAAGTAGAGACATAAATTAATCACACAATAACACTTTTATCACCAGAAAGAGCTGCTAGGATTAATAGGGAGGTCCCCAAGTAAGAGTATACCTGAATTGTAGAAATTGAATATAAGGTCACCTTTTTTTTTTTTTTTTTCCTGTTCTTTTATTCTTTCTCTCTGTCTTCATGAAATTCAACCTGTTGCAGGGTACACAAAGAACATACTACAAGGGACTCACTATCTTGCATTTCTCTGCCTCCTATTTCTTGTCAATGGAAGACCATTTCCCTAATTTTAGGGAGAATCCCTGCAAATGGTAAGCATGCCYAAAAGCCCTTGTAGCTGCTGGCTGACTTTGACTCGATTCTTGTAATTTTATTGCTGTCACTCTGTAGTCAGGAGCAACAGAGAAATTGACCTCAATAGCTACACAGTATTTATAATTTCTTAAGAGAAATAATTTTAAGATTYCATTTCGATGCCTATTTTAAAGATCCTCCATTTAGAAGAAATATGTTTCCAAAAATGTTTAAAACATTTCCTGGAGCACAGAGTTTTCATAGTAATTCTAAAGCCCCCACCTCYCTCCCTCTTTTGTGAATAGTACAACTTTTCTCAGAGACTGCAATTCATTTCTGCACAGAAGCCTTTTTAAGGAATTAAATGGGGTTTATGAGAGCCTTAATCCTGATTCTGGCTCTTTGTGTGGTGTTGAATTTCATAGAAAGGGTGAATTTCAGACAAAAGAGACCAGGGGAGTTAACATTTAATCTCTTTCCGAAACACTGAGAGCTTTCTGGTCTTGTGAGATTCTGAAATGATGTTTCATATACAAAAGTTTTCTTTGTGTGTCTTGTAGGCTGGATCATGATTACTAGATGACTTGCTGTTGCTTACTTGATGTTTATGTTGTCAGCAATGCCTTTGGGAGCTCTTGTCCCTCTATTCAGAAGACCTAATAATTGATAAAATATGTAGTTTACCTGTTTGTGCATATAAGTTAAAATCTTTTCAGTGCCTGAAATATATGCAGTCTAATAGTAGCAGGGTRCAAGGCTGAGTGTAGTTAAGGTTCATTATCACTATTTGAAGATCACCTCTCTTTTGATGCAGTTCCATTCTAGTAAAACTCAATTTATTCTATTTTCACACTTTAAGATTTCAGAAGTACCTTGGTCTTTCAAATTCACATACAGTATGAATGACATCCTTCTGTGTTGAAGTACGAGACTGGAGAATAAATAGAATTTGATGTTTATCTGGTGCTGTTGTAAGACTGAGGCATTCCTATGCAATGCTGAAGAGGTTCTGTTTGAATGATGTCAAGGTTTTGATAATGCTGGCCATATCTTGATATACTGAGTTGATATACTGAGTTTTGAGCAAGAGCAAATCAAGGCATAGCTTACTAGCATCCGCAAGAACTGTGTGACAAAGGTCAGCAGTTTAGTGCATTGAGGGGAGTGGTATTTCATCCTACTTTCAGAGTTTTTCACCTTCGTTTTAATATTTCCTGAAGAATTTATATTTTAACTTTTGTGTGGCTTCTTTTCTCTTTGTCTCAAATAAAATAAAAAAAAAAAAAAAACCAACCAAAAATCCTCTCGGCAGCTTTTCTCTAGCTGGAGAACAGAGTACAGTTTTTGCTGGGAGGAATGTGATGAGTCATGATGTGTGACTGGAATAGCTGTGCTGTTAAAATTGCTGAGGATAGAGGGAGTTCCACCCATAAAACTGTGCTTAGGTACTTGAATATATTCATTCTGTAATGCAGAAACATGGGATTCTTAGAATGAACTGCAGTGGCAAAAGCATTTATCTGCTTGTTAGTGCATCCACACTGACTTCTTACCATGCTGTATACCAGAGTCTCTACCTGAAAGAGCCTTTCAGCTTTAACTTAGCCTTCATTTTATCATTCTGGCTTGATTATTGATTATTAAAAGCCTTMTTTTGTGTTTTCCTTGCATTRTATATACATATATATSTACATAATAAGTATTTAAACTATAATGAAGAGAACACCTGACTGGTAAACCTAATCTGCATGTGCAAGAGGATGCCAAAATATACGCAAACAAACTGACATTTCTAAATTTATTATTACGCCATTTATTTGTTATTTAGTTCAGGAAATGAATACCCCTGTATATAAGGTGGTACAATTTATATATTCTATCTGTAAAGGTYGGAAGTCTATTAAATTAATT